GGTGGGGCGGGGACCAGCAGGGGGTGGGGCGGGGCAACAGGCGCCCTAGCAGAGATTCACAGACGACACAGGCGGTGGCCCCTGTCCTCACAGGGAGGCCGGGCTTCATCGGTGAAGAGTGTAACGACTGGAGAAATTACAAGTCAGGACAGGCTGCGGGTGACGTGGTATCTTTAGGACAGGAGCGAGACTAGATCTGAGCTTTGGACGGTCAGCGTGGTTTGGAGTATGAGATCTGAAGGAGAAGGGTGGGGGTCTGGCCGGCAGGACAGGGAGCTGCGGTGGGTGCAGGCCTGGGGGTTTAAGGAACTGGGGAGCTGGAGGCAGGAAGCGGGGGAGGCCTGGCGGGCGCGGGAAAGGCCAGGCCCCGTGCAGCGGGCACTGGCAGATGACAGGGAAACGGGGAGCACTGGAAGGCTTCTGAGCACGGGCGCTCGGAAACAGCAGATAAATCGAGCGGAGAAAGGCGTCTCCAACGGCGATATTTATACCTCCCCACTTTAATTTACCAATGTGTCAAGTGCATTAGAATGTCCCAAATAATGTAACCAAAGACCCTGTGCCCAGATTGGATACATGTTAATGTTTGCCTCTTGAACCTTAGAGAACTGGTCCAGCTTCCCACCGCCCACCCCATTTCCCAGCTGGTCAGAGGGGGAACGGGAAAGGCCAGTGTCGCAGAGAGAGGCTGAGGCGAAGCCGTAAACTGCCTGGACCGATGTGCACTGAGGCCCAGAGGTGGCCTTCCAGAGCCCCCTGCTGCCCAGCGCTGGTTCTGCCATAGCCTTAGAAGGACGAGGCTGGGTTTTTAAAAAATGTGGTATCAAATTCAAACAGCATAGAAGGACGCAGAGTGAAAAATCTGCCTCTCGCCTCTGATCCCCAGAGACGTCACTTCATCAGTTTTCTGCTTCCAGAGAGATTTCATGCAGGTGCAAGTACCTATTTCCAATTCTTTCGAAAAACAAATAGTGGCCTGACATTAAAAACAAACAAACACCTTTTTATTGAGGTATCACAAACATATAGTAAAATGCACAAATAGGAATGTACTTTGTGAATAATCGTGCACGTGTACACGCCTGTGTAGCCCCCGCCCAGACCTCGTGCACACTCCCGGCAGCAGAAGGACTCCCTCGGGCCCCTATGCAGCCAGTGCCCCCACCGCGGAGCGGCCACCGCTGTTCTTGTGACCGGCATCTTAATCTGGCTTTGTCTGTGTGTGCACTGTATATGAATGGTGGTCCAGAGTTTACTGCTGAATGGCAGCCTGGGGATATTCTTGGCATGAGGTGGGGTCGGGGGGTCATGCCCAGCAGCCCAGGGACCTGTGGTTAGCTTTGGTCAGGTCTCTGGGCTCCTGGAGCTGGCGGGCGGTGCCGTTTTGGGTCGACCCGCTCTCTCAAGTTCAGTGGAAGCTCGTGTAGGCACCAGGGGTAAACGCACAGCAATCCCAGCTTCATGGTTGATCCCGTCATTGGATGTGCATACGCACCAGGGCAGCGAGCGAAATGTTAGAAGCCAGGGCCCAGAACAGTGGCCGACCCAGTCAGTGCTCAGTAAATGCTGGTGGGTGGATGGGTGGGGGGATGAGAGGTGGGGGAGGAAACCTGGATGGGTGGCTGAGCTGCTGGCCACAATTCCAGAACCTAGGGTGGTGGGAGTCAGGACCCACGGAGACCCCTCCCCCAGGGAATCACACGTACGGGTACCACCAACCCTGGAGCCAGACATCCTGCCTCTGGTCACTGTTGTGCTTGGTCCTACAGGGTCGTACAGTGCCAGCCAGGGTATCAAGTGCATCCGTGAGGATGTGGCTGCCTATATCACCAGGAGGGATGGCGGCGTGCCTGCGGACCCAGACAACATTTACCTGACCACGGGCGCTAGCGACGGCATTACCGTACGTGTGAGGGTAGCTCCTGGATACCCGCGGGTCGCCCACGTGAAGAACAGCCTCGTGTGCTAGGGCCAAGCTTGTGAGCCTGCGGCA